CCTCATCCCGGGAGGCCTGAGAACACTCTCTGTTCTGCAGGTAGACGATGAACTGGAAATCAAGGCATACTATGCAGGCCATGTGCTGGGGGCAGCCATGTTCCAGATTAAAGTGGGCTCAGAGTCTGTTGTCTACACGGTCAGTTGAAGTGCTTGGCTTTAATGGGGTTGCTGGGGGGTAGGGAGGCACTTTCCTTACTGTCATCTTCTTTGCCAGGGTGATTATAATATGACTCCAGATCGGCATTTGGGGTAAGTAGACCTGTGTTTCATCCTATGGGGTCTTCCTGGGATCTGGTAGACTCAAGAGAGTATGTCAGTATCCTCCATGGTCATCCCATGCAGTGTGGAGAGTACTCTTGGAAATCAGCTGCTGGAAGGCAGTCTAGAGCCTTATCTCCCCTGCTCTCTCCAAAGTGTGTTGCGACAATGTTTGATAGGCCATGTAGAGGAGTTCATGCTAGGGCAGTCCAGAAAAGTCACTCCAGCCCTGTAGCCATGAATAGTATACAATGGCTATGCCTATCTCTGTTCCAGGGCTGCGTGGATTGATAAATGTCGTCCCAACTTGCTCATCACAGAGTCTACATATGCCACAACCATCCGCGACTCCAAACGCTGCAGAGAACGAGATTTTCTGAAGAAAGTCCATGAGACTGTGGAGCGTGGTGGGAAGGTAGCAACTGTAGGCAGGCTCTGGGTGTGTGCCCATTCTGGCCACACCAAATAGGCCTCCCAGCAGGTTTGGCTGTTGTCCCTGTGGTCAGGGTCTCTGGGTATGGGGGTTACTGTTTGCTTAGCACTGAGAATTTAAGACTCCATTGCACCTTCGCTCAGAGTCTGCCATCCCTTCATACTCTACTCAGATTCCATGAAGGGCTGCTTGAATGCCTCACATGGTTCATATTGTTTCTACATGTGGTTGGGGTACACACAAAGCCTATAGTTCTTAGAAGTCTGGCTATGTTTTGCAGTGATTTCGTATCTGGTCATTCAACTTACCAGAAAGGGTATGGTGAGCATCTTGCCGCCCACTCTGTTCAGGGCTTATAGCATGGACAGTAGCTCCCATCTGAGCCAGCTTTACCTACCCTCAGGTGCTGATTCCTGTGTTTGCGCTGGGCCGGGCTCAAGAGCTCTGTATCCTGCTGGAGACCTTCTGGTAGGTGTAGCCAGGAATATTCTTTCACAAGAGGGCAGGAAAGGATGGAACAGGCTGTGCACAGCCTTACACAGCCAAGCAGGATGAAACATCAGTACCATTGGGCACTCCATGTTTAGGCTGCAGTGGCATTGGCCCTGCTTTCTTGGGTGGAACTGTCCATTTGCTGGGAACACTGTCGACTGGCCACCAGTCACTGGTCTAACTGAGCTTTCTCACATAACCTACTATAACCCCATGTTAGGGGTCTGGCTCTTTAGTCCTTGGGGTAGAGACAGCATGGGATTCAGTTCCTTAAGGGACACTGGACTCAGGTCACAGCTGCCAAGCTATACAGTAGAGGACATACATAGGTTGATGAGTCCCAGGCTGACTATGGCCTGGTCTCCCTGCACTGACTGGTCTGGTGGTCACACAGGGAGCGCATGAACCTGAAGGTGCCCATCTACTTCTCCACGGGCCTGACAGAGAAGGCCAACCACTACTATAAGCTCTTCATTACCTGGACAAACCAGAAGATCCGGAAGACCTTTGTCCAAAGGAACATGTTTGAATTCAAGCATATCAAGGCCTTTGACCGGGCGTTTGCTGACAACCCAGGTCCCATGGTGAGCAGGCAGCTTTTCACATCTGGCCCACAACGATCACTTCCCATGGGCCTCCAAGAGGACTGCTGGCTAAAGGCCTGGGGCTTATGGCAGCCCTAGGTAAGAGGGTCTAATCCTCTAACCTGTCAACCCCACAGGTTGTGTTTGCCACACCTGGGATGCTGCATGCTGGCCAATCCCTGCAGATCTTCCGGAAGTGGGCAGGAAATGAGAAAAACATGGTGAGAGCTCGGGACCCAGGGCCACCTCCCAGGATGGCTACAGGGGTTCCTCATATCCTTGTGGAGCTGGAGCTGTCTTGGCCCTGAGCTGTTGCTGTTCATGTACTGGCCCTATGGTGATCCAGCTGCTGTGGCCCAACCTAACAGCCCAGATTGTAAGCAACTGGCCTTTCACAGAGAGGCCCCACCTCCTGAGCAGCTGGCATTGTGGTGGGCTTCTCTGAGGATTCAGGTGGGAAGGTGTCCCAGGAGAAAGTACCTACTGTGGGGGACAGTGCAGCTCAGCTTCATCTTTGCCTGCAGGTCATCATGCCTGGCTACTGTGTGCAAGGCACCGTGGGCCACAAGATCCTCAGTGGGCAACGCAAGCTGGAGATGGAGGGGCGTCAGGTGGTGAGTACCTTCCCTATCCTGGGCTTAGCAGAGCTTCTATGCCCCACTGCTGCTAATTGTACCTACATCCTTCGATGCAACAGCTGGAGGTGAAGATGCAGGTGGAGTACATGTCATTCAGTGCCCATGCTGATGCCAAGGGCATTATGCAACTGGTGGGGCAGGCAGAGCCGGAGAGTGTGCTACTGGTACATGGCGAAGCCAAGAAGATGGAGTTCCTGAGGCAGAAGATTGAACAGGAATTCCGTAGGTGACTGGTGGCCAGGGATAGCCCATGGGGTGGTGGTCCAGGCAAGGATGGAAACCTGGAATAATATTCTTTCCGCACCACCTCCCCCAGGGGTCAGCTGCTACATGCCAGCCAATGGTGAGACAGTGACACTGCCCACAAGCCCCAGCATCCCTGTGGGCATTTCCCTGGGGCTGCTGAAGCGGGAAATGGCACAGGGTAAGAAGGGCAGATGGGGGGGGCACTAGGTAGGGGAAGGCAGGTGATTGGTAGCTTGTGTTGATAGTTGTGCCCTTTTCCTCATAGGACTGCTCCCTGAGGCCAAGAAGCCCCGGCTCTTGCACGGCACCCTAATTATGAAAGACAGTGTGAGTATGTGTATGTGGGCTCCGTGTGTATGTGTGTGTGTGATCCCTTACTTTCCCTGATATGCCTCTGCCCCACAGAGTTTCCGGCTGGTGTCCTCAGAACAAGCCCTCAAGGAGCTGGGTCTGACTGAGCATCAGCTGCGCTTTACCTGCCGCGTGCACCTGCAGGATACACGCAAGGAGCAGGAGACAGCCCTGCGTGTGTATAGCCACCTCAAGAAGTAAGTCTTGGCCTTGCGCCCATCTCACCTCCTCAGGCAGGTGAGGTGGGGGGTCTCACTGTGCCTCCCCCACAGCACCCTCAAGGACCACTGTGTACAACACCTCCCTGATGGTTCCGTGACCGTGGAGTCCATCCTTATTCAGGCTGCTGCTCACTCTGAGGACCCTGGCACCAAGGTACTCCTGGTTTCCTGGACCTACCAGGTAAGGAGGATGGCACCAGTGGCATGCCCCTTAGACCTAGTGGCCTCACTCCCTTGCTGTCTGTAGTGAGTGACTATGTTCCCCTTTCCTATAGGATGAGGAGTTGGGAAGCTTCCTCACAGCACTGCTCAAGAATGGCCTCCCCCAGGCTCCCAGTTGACCACCAGGCCCACCACTCTGTCTCTTGGTGTTTACCTAGCAGAAGGACCAGGGCTTTGTCTTCAGGAAATGGGTCCCCTGACTAAATGGAGACCGTGACTGGGCCTCAGACCCTATCCTAGGGACAAGACCAGCGTCACAGGCTGACTCAAGTGGATATTTCTGGCTAAAGCAATAAACAGGCCTTTTTGTCCTCCATGCCTTTTATTCCTACTCTCTTGCCCCAAGAAGGTGGGGGTAGGGCTCCCAGAAAAGCAGAACCAGAGGCCACTTGGATGCTTACAGCTGTCTCCAACCCTATGCCAGTCTTTAGGGACAGAGAGGGGGGTGTCCAGGGTGGCAGGATGGGGGAGATAAGAGCCAAAGGAAGCAGAAGGCTAGACAAGGACTGGGAATGGCTTAGTCTCTGCTTCATGTAGTGAACACAGGACAAGGTTGGCAGTCAGACTTAGTGTGTTGTGGCTCCTCACATCTGTGAATATGCAATCACCTGGTTTCCACACTGTGACCCTGTAGGGTGCAGGAGGTAGGACCTGTGGATAGACCCTAGGTCAGGGCAGAGCTCTTCACACCACTGCTGCATCTCCATTTCCCTCTTCTGAGATCTGACCCTGTGGGCCACTCAATTGAGGCCACCATGCTTTGGTCACTTGTCCCTAGCTGGAACTCAGCCAACTCAGCTTGTCTCTTCCAATGCCTTGGATTCCCATCTTTTAGTATAATGGAAGCTTTGCCTCCAAAAGCCCTCCTCCCCCAGCACAAACCCAGCCTTGGGGGTGGGATGGGGATATTCCTTCTTCCCATCCCACCTCTTACCAAGGCTCCTATACTGCACTGACTTCAGGAACAGGCCATGGGCTGGGGCGATGCGAGACTGGTATTTGCCCAAAGGATCTCGACTCTCCAAAATTGCCTTCACCTGGATAGGTGTCAGAGTCCCTAGTCCCACAGCCACCAGTACAGCTGTCATCCTCCGTACCTGCAAACAAGAGCAGGGGCTGTCATAGATGCCTACCTTCGCTTACCCTGAGAGGGTTCAGGACAGCCTACCTGTCGGTACAGGAAAGACTGGCTCTCAAACTCCAAGGTCCAGAACTGTAGCCTCCTAGGAATGCAGATAGCTGTGATGTCCAAGCCACAGTCCAACCCCAGCCACCCTAGTCTACTCTGTAGCCTTAGGGAGGAGGGCAAAGACTTAAGTGCTAGCTTCAAGACTCACCCATCTAGGTAGGGGCCCTTACCTGATAATTGGCTACCAGTTCCAGAGGGGCTAGTGGAAAGGTGTTGCATGACTGAAGTCTATGTACCTCAAATAAGGAAACAGCTCCTTAACAGCATCAGATCAGGCAGTTGGCCTGTACAAAGGAGGTAGCAGCCACTTTGGGACTTAATGCTAAGGTAGGGCCCAGCCAGCCCACCTGCTAGGACAGAACCCTGCCCAGTACTCTTCTGCCTGGACACACTTCAGTACCTCTTTTCCTTGGGGCTGGTCCCAGTAGGGGTGTTCTAGAGGTCAGCAGTTCTTTCCTGGTTGGAAGCCCACCAGGCAGTGTTGGGAACAGAGAACCTACTTTCTATCAGACTGCACTGGAGCTGCCAGCTCCAGTGAAACCTTTTCAGTGAATGCAAAAATCCATCTGCTACAAAGAGCTACAGGCAAAGTAAGGCCCTCAGAGAAATACATTATCTACTTTCTGCTCCCCAACCTTGCAGGGCCCTCAGCTGGACAGAAAGATACTACAGGTTCACACCTTCCAAGTGGCTACCACCCTCCACCCCCAGGCCCTATAATGCATGGTGCACCGGTTTACCATCAGCCCACTTTTGTTGGAGTAAAATTAATTTAACAACCCCGGTGGCTTGCAACCAGCACGGAACCACAGTGCAACACCACCCTCCTCACCTGCTCTCTTCCGGGAGGACAAATGGGCTAGGTGGGCCAGGGGACACAGATGCCTGGTATAATGTGCGTATGGAGCTTGTGGTTGGGCTGCCGGCGGACTGGAAGGCACTGAAGTCATGTGTCCCAAGGAGATGCTGGGCAGCCTCCTGCATGGCAACCACATCCAGGCAGCTTCAAGAGCCAGGTGAACAGTCAGGGAGGGCCCAGCCAGGTGGATGGTGAGCCTTTCCCTCCCCACTCTTAACCTTAACTCACTCTGTCTGCACAGCCCAGCATACTTTTTGTTCAAATACAGGCAGCTGATCAGGCCAGGGGCAGCCTGTGGCTAGACGATACACGTAGGTTCTGGAGGTGGCTGAATGGCGAGCGTGGAAGTCACTGGGCACTCTGAAGGCTTTCAGTACCCTGTAGCAGCAGGTCAGGCTCACCCAAGGAATAAGGCTGCCTACCTGTCCAGATAGCACCCCGGTATCTTCCACTCACCAAGTTTTGCGCAGACACACTTTTCTGGTCCTCAGCCCAATCCCCCCCCTTCCATGTAAGAGCAAATCAGGAGAGAGCAGAGAACAGAGCCGTACTCAATCCCCTGGCTTACCGAATGGCCGGGTGCTTCAGGTGGGTGTTGAGGGCCTGGGTCACGACCTCAGGGGAGAAGGGCGGCAGGTCCGAGAGGCGCTGGATGTCCAGATGCGCCGCATTGCTCAGGGCGTGCACTCCAGCATCAGTGCGGCTGGAGATGGTAAACTTGACTGGCTCCACGACCGACCTCAGCTGCTTCGCAGCCTCCTGCAGGGAGAGACGGCCGGGCGCACACCCGCAGCTGCATAACGGAGGGGTGCCGGTAGGGACTGTGGCTCCCGGCTACTTCTCCCACCACCCTGCAATGGGTCACCGCTGTAGCCAAGAGAGGGGACAACGCTCACCTCCAGGAAGTTCAGCACCCCAACGGCGCGCTGATTGCCTCTCACAGCCGCGACCCCACTGCAGACAGAAGCACGAGGGGGTTAACCGCAGCGTCCGCGCTAACCGCCCGAGTCTCGGCCCGCGTCCTTCCGCCCCTAAAATTCCGCAAACAGAGCCCGGAGGTCCAGGCTGCCGCGCAGACCCTCCCTAGCCGTCTCGCCGCCCTCCCGCGAGCCCGGATGGAGAGATGGTAGGCAATCTTGGAAAAACGTACTTGAAGTCCGTGCCCAAGTATTGGAAGAACACAAGGTAGCGCGCCCGCACGGAACCCACAGGCCCGCAGGAACCCATGGCGAACCGAGAGCGGCCCGGCTGCAGCACGTGGCCAGCGCTCGGCCCCGCCCAGCCGTGTCTGAGTCTGCGCGCTTCCTAGGCCTAGGCCTCCGGTTTCGGGAAACGGGGGCGGGGCCAAACTTAGGGAGCGGGTGCAAAATGTCTGGTGTGAAGCTAATGGGCCCGACTCGGTGCGCGCTCCGGGGCCTCACAGCTACGCAGCGACCTGCTGTTTCTGCACGCGTGTCCTCCTTCGCGCATTCACTCCTCTGTCCCCGCCACCTCCCTGTCCTCCCGGAGGTGTCCGACCGTCGCAAATTCTGGCCGATTGCCCCCAAATGCAGTTTTTGCAAACGCCCCAAGTTGAACCATGTCGGGGATGTCTGTAGTGGGCCAGCCACACCCTTCCCGTTCTAGCGGCAGAGCCTACAGCTCCGAAGCCTGATTGCCGCGACCCGCTCAGTTTCCAGACCCCGCTGGCTGAGGACGCAGTGGGTGGCGACAGCGTCCGGGCTCACAGGCGCTTTTAGCGACGCTCCCCGGCGTTGACAGCGGGTGGTGCGAGCGGCCGCGTACTTTGGTGACGCTCCCTGGCGGTGACAGTCGGGGCGGGGCAGCGGCGCGGCGGCCTCATTCTGAGGCGGGCGGGCGCTGAGCGCGGCGCGGGCGCGGGCGGGACGGACCGGCGCCTGCCTCGGGATGCCGCTCGACGCGCCGCGGTCCTTGGTCCTGTGAGCGCCGCTCGCCGCAGCCATGACGGTGGAGTTCGAGGAATGCATCAAGGACTCGCCGCGCTTCAGGTGCGCTGCGGGCTTGGGAAGGGGCGCAGGCGGGGGTGGCGGGCTGTCTTTGTGCCTGAGGCGGGGAGGGGGTGCTCGTCGTCGTGACCGCGACGAGGCCACCTAGACCAGGCAGGGTACCGGGCCTGGACAAAGCACCGGAGCCGTAGCCCCTGGCCGCGCAGCCCCGCCTCCGGTCCCGGGGGCCCGGAACAAAAGACGCCCCTCTACTGATCACCTCACCCTGGGGTGCACGCACAAACGGCCCGGCCCTCGAAGAGCCATGTTCCACTTGGCGGTTGCGGGCACTGCTACCTCGGGCCCTGTCCACCCCGCTTTGCGTTTGCACCTTCGTGTGATGGCCACCAGTGCTGAGCTCCCCCTGGGCCCTGCAGTCAAGGATTGTCTGGGACCCGGGTGTGTCTGTCCCGGTCTCTGTCTTTGGTGCACGTATATGGCCAGGGTAGTGCATGAGTGCAGCCAGCTGGTGCCGTTTAGGACCTGGGTGGGGACCTTGGAGAGAGTGAAGGGTGATCCGAATGGCCCAGGAACCTGAAGCAGTGGAGACTGTGGTCCTGAAGAAGTCAGGTAGGAGGTTTAGGTGAGAGGGTATGGGCCTTGTCCACTTAAGAGTTTGTGTCTTTTAGCATTCCTGGTCATGCAGTCATGCACATCTGTGTGAACCACATGTCCAGAGATATGTACATCTGTCTCACTGGGTGACATTTGACAAGCAGTAATGGAGTACCTCCTCTGTCATTTGCAATTGTGCACCTTCATGAGGCCACCCACCTCTGCATATGCATGTACACAGAGGCACATGTTCTGCCATTCTGCCCCTCCTTTTAGGAGGTGCTAGCCATGCACATTAATGTGTGGGTGAGCTGCAACACTGGGTTGGCATGCTTGATGCATTCACTTAGCCTAGTGAGAATGCATACGTGTGTGCACATGCCACCTCTCTGTGGATTCATGAGTCATGTTTGCCAGGCTGCTAGACACATGTTAATGCATGTAGGTGTGTGTTTCAGCATAGGCACACATGTCCATGCACACACGTGCACCGTATCCCAGGAAGCACACAACTGTGTGCACTATGCTTGCTGCATGCATGCATGTTTGTGTGTAAACGTGTCCTGCCTCTGCACATGTGTGTTTGACCAAACATGTGCATGCATGCTGGGTCTCTGGGAGCCTGCCTCAACAAGCCTAGTGCTAGCCCCTTGGAAAACCACCTTACAAGGGAGTCAGCAACAAAGGACTCAGGAGGGAGCATTAGAGTCAGCACAGAGTGGTTCCAGCACTAGACAAAGGGTTTGAGGTGATCATCTGTGCTTCCCTATTTTACATTGCTGATGGAAGGGGTCTGAGAGACTCGGATACCCCCACAATTCTGCACCTAGGCTTAGTAGGATGCATGGCCAAGGCCTCTGTGCTCTGGATTTGGCCCCAGCTGAAGCACCCTACCTTTACCCTAGCTCCTTTCTGAAAAGCTCTGACTCTTCTTCCCTCCACCCCCGACCCCCACCCTCATGAGGGTCTGGGCTTTGGCAGAAACCCATTCACCTCTGGGCCTTCCCTCCTACAACCAGCCCGTTGGACCTGTGGAGCTACAGTAGGTGTGGCAGCTGCCTAGCCTTAACATTACTTCTTTTCATAGGGAGGGGTATCATGGGGTAGGGACCAAGGGTGACTGCCTGGACCTTGGTCTTGGGGCCTTGGAAGCCTGGCTCAGTGGTTTTGGGTGGGCTGAGATTTGATGGGTTTGAGGGGTCTCCTGCCCACTCTAAAGGGTTACTGAGGTTATAACTTGATCTTCCTGGCTAAGAACCTCGAGGTGGGGCAGGGTGGAGCTTGCGGAAGGATGTGGAAATGAGGTGGAGTCCAGACCCTAACCTGGAAATGGTGGGGGCTCCTGGCCTGGGATATGGCTTGTGACAACCTTGGAAATGCTCATAGTCCCTGAAGCTGTGGGTGGGGGGGTACAGAGAAGCCCCAGAAGAGGAGCCGCCCAGCGTTGTCTGTAGGCCCAGCCCTGGGTGGGGCTTCAAGCGCTGAGTCACGGCCTTAGGGCCTTAGTGAGGGGGCTCCTCCCCAACCTCCAAGCTGCTGAGGAAGTCTCTGGCAGGCAGGACTGGCAAAGGGCAGGAGGGGATGTCTTAGGTCCCTGGCTGAGGAGGGGAGTCGGGAGAGGATCCCGGGACAGAATGCTGGTCCTCTAAGTCTCTACTGAGTACCCACCGTGTTTGTACATTTCTGTGAGGGCATTTGTCAGCTCCTGGTGCAGCCCCTCCCAGTCCCTGGTTTCCAGGCCAGCTGCAGCTCTCCATGCAGCTGTTTGGGCTGTCAGGCCTGCTCAGGGAAGCCCTGAATTCTGCTCTTCTCAGCAGATGGTTCTTTCCATATTCTAGGACCTCCTGGCTCCCATAGTGGTCAGGGTCCTGGGCCAGAGCCTCTTGTGGTAGCCTGTGTTGGACAAACAGCTAAAGGGCATTTCTCCCAAGCAGGGCAGGTGG